TTTTTTTTTTCAGAAATATTTTATTTTCTCATACCACTTTACAATTTGTATTGCAAATAAATCTTTGAATAACAATTTCATCGAATAAAGATACTCGATTAGCAACAAGAATTTTCGCTGCCCTTCTATTATCTTTTTCTTCATTTCCAACAGTTTGATTTTCATACGAAAATGTTAATATTAAGCTAATAACTTCATTTAGAAGTCTAAGATAGTTACAAAATAAAAAATGAATTTAATAGAAATATTATACTTACTGATTCAAAGATGAATTTTTGGGAAATATAGAAGAAATTACGAATAAGAGAAGTAGTATAACAGAACGAATTAGTACAAGACAAAGGCCAATGGGTATATAGAGAATTAAAGATAATGTTAGTTCAGGAATTCTATAGATAAAAAAACGAAAACAAATAATTGAATTCCAAATAAAAATCAAATCTCCTACCGATTTTCATGAAATAAATCTGGTAATTCAATCATTGTTTATGTTTTATTAAATCTAAAATAACGAATATTTTTATCCCTGATAGAAAATTTCTTTTCTCATTTGCCAAAATTAAAAGACAGACAAAAACAAAACATTTGTTTTTCTTCTCATATAAGTATCACTGATTCATACCAATCAAAAAAATAATTCAATTTATGATTATCTTGATTCATAGTTCTTGTTTTTTTTTTGACAGAAAAAAAACACTTTTGTTCATACAAACAAAAAAGTGCGTAACAATCGACATCGACAAAATATAAATTCGACGAATAAATCAATACACACAAACAAAACATTTTGCTTACATATAATTCATCACGAAAAAAAAAATAAATGAGCAAAGAACAGAAGAAAAAACCCTAATCAGGTTCGTTTGACGAAAAAAAAACAAACAAACAAACAAAAAATAAGGTAAAGACAGGTGACTTTTATTTATGTACAAGTAAAAGAAAAAACAATTGAGAGAAGCCATATGTCGAATTTTAAACATTTGTACTAAAATAAAAATGAAAGAATATTTTAAAATAAAATCTCGAATATATATTTTTATTACTGAAAAAATTGAAATATTTTATTTAGACTTTTTCTTAGTATGACATGAATAAATAGACATACAATTCAGCTTTTCTTTAGTCGTCTGTTAACCACAGTTGGTAATGAATAACGTTGAGATAAGCGATTACTCATATAGGACGTCTTGCAGTAAAGATCTAAATATTACAGCGTTTCCTTATCGAGGTTTTGTACTTTGCAGAAAGAGAAATGACAGTTAATGTTTTCAATAGAACTAATTTAACTCTTTAAGTACCAGTGAGGCTTATAAGCTTTCCTTTTTTAAAATTTCATAAATTTCGAATAACTCACGAATGCAGAGTGATAACGAAGTGTAGCTTTCACTACGACACAGAAGAGTCTTTGACGCTTATATCTATGTAAGATTAAAAACTCTTCTGAGGCTACTGAATCAGCTTTTGACTCCCGTCCGTACACTTCCGAGGAAATGGCTAAAAGATTTCTCAGGATTTGCGTGCAGGACACGGCTAAAAGTTGAAAATGACGTGAAATATTTTTTTAAAGTGTTGATAATACCCAATGCTCATACGAAATATCAAGTTTTAAAGAGATTTCGTCCATAGGTTGAACGATGAGCTTCAAAGGGTTAAGACGTACGCAGTTTGAGTTTCTCTAGTGTTCATCTATTTAGATAGAGCAGTGATTAAGAAGTTTGATCGACTATCTTTCCTTGCAGGGATGTGTCGATACAGAAATTTAGGAGAACCAAACCTCATTCCACCTGTAAAAAGTCAAACAAATTATTGAGTGATATTATAATCCGCAGATTGACGTATAATACTTCGCTCAACAGATGACATATTTACCTCTTACAAAAACTATTGTTTATTAGAGCATTTTTTTTAAAAAATAACGACTAAAAAAAACATTTGATTGTGCATTTATCTCCCATAACTTCGCTTCTCTACTTTTTATCTTTTATCATTAACCAATATACTTCACAGATAAAGGGAAAAGATATATCATATCTTTCTTTTCTCAGACGTTCATTATGAATAATCACTACAAATTATTTTAGAGTAAAAATATTCTACATACAAATTTTGTTAGTATAGATTAGTTGTATTACTGATTAATTGTGCTTTTCTATAATTATTATAAATAAACTTACGAAAGTCTCGTATGTCGTCGTGTTGTCAATGAATTATTCATCAATGGATGTTTTCTCGTATTTGGGTAGGAACGAGACGACGAAGAAGACGTGGTATGTTTGATCGATACCATTCTATAGAAAACAACGACGATCGATAAGGTGTATGATCATTCGCTGCTACATACGGTGATGACGCTCTCAAAGCAATATTTGAATGTGTATTTGAATTTGTCGACGTTGACAGATTATTGAAATTTTCTTTTTCTAACGGTCGTTTTTTTGTTGGTGTTATATCAGACGCACTAAAATATAAAACATGTAATACAATTATCTTTAAAAAACTATATTACGTACTTGACATAAGCAGTTTTTGAACGTAAAGGTGATTTTCTAATACCCGTTGGTGATGATATTTCATTTGTTATACTAAATGAAAATGAATTTATTACATATATATTTATATATTTTAAATGTTTACATTTTGTTATGATTATTATTTGATTGATGTCCAAGGACATTTTGTATACATGTTAAACGTTGTGAATTACTTATTCGAAGTTTATTATTTTGATCATCAATAAATCTTACAACTGGTATACGTGGCAAATGAGATATGATTTCTAATTGTGATGGAATATGTAACCTTTGGAAAAAACAAAACAAAAACGTGTAAAAAAAGAAACACTATTTTTTTCAAATTTATCTTACGTTGGATTTGAAACCATAGATGAAGTATTAATTTCTGTTGATTTTGCTTTACTTGGATTAACAGTTTTCAAACGTTGATTTTGTCGTTCACGTACAGATAATCGAGGTTTTGACCTAAGAATTCAAAACTTAAATAAACTTCTTTTAAACTTAAATCTTACATAGATTTTGAATGACGTATAACTTTTTTCAAATTATTAATCATAACATCTAATTCATGTATTGTACCAATATTTTTATTATAAGGTATTTCATTTTCAAGTGTCGACCAAGTTATTGATTGATTTGATCGAATATTACATCCATGTCGATAAATAATTCGATGATCAGAAACTAAAATAAGAAATTATTTATTTGACAAAAGAAAACTATATATTAACTTACGATAAGTACAAATTTTATCATGAATAGTATAACGACGTTCACGTTCTAATTCACGTAATAAACGATTTCGTGTTCTTTCATTTAAATGAGCTGTATGTGAACGACGACATTGTAAACGACGAAGTGTTCGTTGATCACGAATATATCGTTCATAAAGTCTAAAATTAGAATTTCAATGTAACAAAATATCCAATTAATTTGTTTGTTTTTCTTTTACTTTCGATCTTTTTGTTCTTCAAGCATCAATCGTTGATGTCGAGCTAGAAGGTCATCATAATCATCATCGCCATCATTATGATTTATCGACGAATTATCATCTTCATTCTCATTCTCAACATTACGCCATTTTGGTACTAGAAAAAAAACAAATTCTCATAGTTATAGTTATTGAGTATTTAACATTTACGAGTTTCATGAACAGTTGTTCGAGATTTTGTTTGCTTAACAGTTGGTGTTAAACGTAAACTATGACGACGATTTTGTTGATTGATTATAGGATTTGAACGACGAGATTGCGATTTTTTAGTCCTGAAATATAAAATGATACATTTTTTTCTATTAGATAAAGAACAATAGATTGATAACAAACACTCGAGAAGATGATGTTCTTGTAGTTTTTTTATTTGTTGTTGAAAGAGATATTTTACTAGTAGGTTGAATACGAAGATTATAGCGTGGCTTCATTCAATATAAAAGCGTTTTCTTTTTACAATGAATAGAGAATTTATGATAAAACAGTCAATATTTGACACAATTAAACAGCTGTATGAAAGAAAAGAAAATAGTAAACAATAATGGTAGCCATTTTTGTTGACAAGTATTTGATTCATCCAATAGAAATTCTATTCTATACATAATTTTTCTAATTATAATTAATCGAATAAAGAAAATTTTTTCAAAGAATACGAAATTTTTGATTCTAATAAGATTATATTGTTCTACTACTGACATCTGTAGAATGTTTCAAGTTCAGTTCAATTAATATGTTTATTATATATTTTGTCTCTTTTATTACAAATAAAGAATATATTTCCAATTGTTATAATATGTGTCAAATAAAATAAATTATATAAATATTTATATGTATTGTAATTGCTCTCGATTGAAAAAGGTTGAAGTTCCGGAAAAGGAAAAGTTTTTTATATTTTAATCATGAAGTGCTATTTGATATTTTAGAATCTATTATTACCGTATTGTTATTCACTTCAAGTATTTTAAAGCCTAGATTGTAAAATAAGTACCGTGTAAGAAAGTCACAAGAAACTTTCTCGAGATATATCTGCAAATATTGATTCAAAAATTTTTTTTTATAGTCATAAAAGAAGATCAGCTGATGTTTAGTTGTTTTCTCTAAATCAATCGACTGTTCGTATATTTCTATTATACATTCTCGATCTTTGGAATTCTTTCTAATGTAATTAATACATCTCATATCTACTGAAACTATTTCAATCGTTCTTATTGAAAGCTAGCTAGATAACTTCTATAATACGGATCAAGTCTGTTACATAAAGCATCGAATTATAGAAATATTGCATCACTGATTTTCTTTTTCTCTCTCTCTCAGTAATTTAGTTTTTTTTTGTTCTTTATATAAGCGAAAAGAAATTGTCTATTGGAGGCAAGAAAGAAAAAACGGAGGGAGAGAGCGAGAGACATATATGTCATAAAACAAGTAGCTACTCAAACTATTGTAAATAATTTCATTTGCAAAACAAGACAAGTATTGTTGAGTCGACATTACTCTGTAAGTAACAATGTAACAGTATGATAATCTGAAGTTTTTCTTTTCTTTTACGTCATAGTTTGCTTTTCTACAGCATTAAAAGTCTTCCAAACATTTTTTCTTTCGGCAAATAAAAATATTGAAAATTTCGTGTTTTTTTTAAATTTTATTTATTCGAAAGAAGAAAACAGTTGATGTAAGTAAGAGAATAAATCAAAATGCACTTGTATCACTTTGTAATATCTTTAATGAAACCTTAGAAGATATATTTTTACCTCGTTATGTTTTATTCTGGATATAATAGTGCTTGATCTTTCTTTAAATAATAATACTTCTATATCAATTCTAGTCCTTAGACATTTAGATTTATCTATAAGAAGTAAAGTATTCATTCCTCGTTTTTAAGGATGTTTATCTTCCTTCACAGATAAATATTCTTCGCATGTCAGTTCGCCACGTTGATCTCTGCTTGATTGTTTCATTTATTTTGACGTTTCATCTATTTTGAT